TTTCTTACTTTTTTTCCATTCTGCTTTTTAACCCATAGTTTCTTACACAGTCCTGTATGGAGTTTACTGGAGACATGCATTTGCTAAACAGTGTGCATATTATCGTCTTCCACAAGACCATATGCATCCATATGGGGGCAACCAATATGTTTTTATATGCTTTTTTACTTATACCCAAATAATATTCTATGCAAATCATAACTTTGCAGATATTTGAAACAGAATATGGTAATGGAAATACACCTGGCACTTAATTAGAATACAAAAAATTATTTCTATGTTGAGACCTATGGATGAATAAAACTTCCCCATATCGGTGCTCTCATGCATAAAAGTGGAGTTGGAAAGAACCACTCTATGTGTTCCCTTTTGTAGAGTTGATGTTTCCTGATATTACTGTTTCTGGCATCAAGGGTAGCAGAAACCCAGGGGAAAATGTGATAAAATCATAGTTTCTGTCTTCAGTGTGTTTCCAAAGAAGTTTTTCTTAGGCATTCAGTTCCTAATTATTCAAAGTTTTGTTGTTTTTTTTTTTACAACTTTTTAAAAGTTTACTTGCGAATGGAAAAATCTATAAATTCCAAGGAACAGTTGTAAAGAGGTTGTGCTGGTAACTGAATAAAAGACTGGATTGTGTTAACTTAGCCAGGTGAAACAAATGTTATTTGTTCAATTTTTGATAACAGTAAAAGAAAGCTAAAATTTGTGGGGAAGAAAAAACAAACCCAGCAAGCACAAAAACCAACCCCAAAACATCATGTATTTATTTGGCGTTTGGGGCTGTATGCCTCTTCTGTGTAATACAAAGGTCCATAATATTCATGTTCATACAATCATACAAACCACCCATATGAAAAACATCAACATCTTGGAAATATTCATAGTGAACTAAGGGATGGAGCAGGTTATTCAAAAGTATCTATAAAGTGCTCCCTGAAATCACTTTGAACCATAGTTACATTTTTCTACATGCTTGTCTGTAAAATCCTTGCCTGCATACACAAACAAGAGTTCACCAGCCCCACTGTAACAGTTATCTGTTCAACTGTAAAGTAAGTGTTGTGAGTTTGGAGAATTTCGCATGTGTAATGAATCTATTTGTCTGCCTAGAAGTTTGAGAAATGGTGAAAGCAGCTCTCAGATGTCATTCTCTTTTATTCAGACTGTGAGGAGCATGACAGCATATGAAAGATTAAGTATTTTCTCTCAAAAATCCAGAAGAATGTATTATTTTTGCATACATGTCTGTCAGAACAACACAGAACTCTCCTGTCCTCACAGAAGGAGCTTTCAAAATTCTGCTTTCTCTAAACCTTAGGCCTTAGGTATGACTGGAACTTATCACACTTACTCATGACACACATCTGAAATAGGAAACCTCACGTTAGTTATTATCGTTACAGCGCTATTTTTTTAAATTTTTTTATTTAATGGAGAGTGTGGCATGCTGCCATACCCAGTTCCAAACAGAATTACATTTGAATTCTTCATATAGCCAGGAAAAAATGAACGAAGAGGCCACAAAGACCAACAGAAGTGTGGATTTTTTTTCCATTTTCTGAAACTTTTTTTTTCCTTAAATAAGCATTGGAAGAAAAGATTGTGATAGTACAGGAAGAGAAAACTGTGAGGGGGAAAAAAGTCAATACTATGTAAAATATGACTGTAATGATAAATTACTTTCTTTAGATGTACATTTGCTTTGAAATCCATGCTGGGTCTCCTAGTACTCACTGAGCTTAACTTTAAGCCCTGAAGCTATGATTTAAAATAATATATATTTGCTCTTTCATCTCTATGCTCTATTGTATCGTTTTCCACGAAAACACCTGGAAGGATCCTTAGAGCTCCTTATGAACTTTGACTCTGGAGATTTTCATCTTTAGATCCTACTGTGAAATGATGCTGCACATGCCATGATCTGAAGAGCTGTCAGTGTTTCCTTTCTAATCTTTGGTATAAAATGTAACATATACTGCAGGAAATGTGCAAACACATTCACCTGGCTAGCAGCCTTCTGCAGATTTGTTTCTTTTTCAGACTGCAATCTGAGTTCATTTTTACTTATAAAACCAATATACTGGTCTGTTTGCAAGAAACATCTTAAGAATTCCTAAATATAGAAGTTTTAGGTATGTTGATCTACATACGAGTTTTGAGTACCTATTTCCAAAAACATTTCAGGTTTGAAGGTATTTCATCTTTTTCTTTCTGTTATCTTTATTTTCCCCACTTTTTTTTTCTTTTTCTTTTTTTTTTCTTCCTATTGTCTATTCAGAAGGCCTTTGCTCTCCATGCCAGTGAAAGGGACCTCAGGCCCTTATCTTTATCAGATGCTCATATTTCTCCTTTGCAATTGAAAACCCACAAAATCTTCAGAGAATGTTTGTAAACTAAAGGATATTGAATTCACTCTGAAGTCAATTAGTCAGTAATGTCCTATGGTTAATCAATGGGAAAAGATAAAAACAACCATTGAAGAGTGGTTGCTAAAGCAACTTACTTACATGAGCTCCTTTATGCCACTTGGCACCATTCTTACAATAATTTACACAACTATATACAATAATATGTAATTACTGTGTGCACCCTCAAGAAGAGAGACTTGCTTGCATTCAGTAATTGTGTTCCAATCAAGTGGGAAGAGTGGCAATTTCCTATCTATCACATATTCCATGTTAGCAATGCAGTTTCCCTGCATCTGAGCTTATGAAATGAAAACAGTTCCATCAAACAGGTAAATGCTTTTTACAGTCTTTATCCTAAAGAAAAACAAAAAACAAAACAAAACAAAACAAAACAAAAAAAGAAAATCATCACATAATCAGCAGGGCACTAGAAGTATATCAGCAATCAAATGATCTTTCTGTCTTCGGCTGAGCTTCCTGCCATTTTGAGTTAGCGTGCCTGGAAAAACTAAGAAACACAAATATCTATTGTCACTATGTAGTGGGAACAGTCTAGTATCTTCATATACATTGAGAGAAATAATGGGTTTAAAAGACCAGTAAACGCTGACTTTTAAGAACTGTTGATTCAAGTAACGCAACAATGCAACATCTACACTCAGATTTTAAATGTACTAAGAAAGGCACTAGGCTGGCACTTCTTCAGATTTAAAAATCTCTCAGCCCTGGCTGTTCCTCCACATGACTGTCAGCAGCTGTAGCAAACTACTTAATTCTGGGAACTGCAAGTTATAAGTTGGTGTCATGGAGCCTGAGCAGCTGCAGAGAATTACTTAGTTTGCAAGTGAGATGTTCTTTCAGGGATTGAATTGGGATTCTAATTTTGCAGTTGCAGTCTTGGAAGCCTCCTGGTACCATCCACCTTCAGCAAAGCATTTCTTGCTAAGGGCAGAAGCCATTTTTTAGATTTTCAATATTTTGCTAACTTGATTGTTGGTATGTACAACTAAATCTGTGATTTGGCACACTTTCCAGATTTATCTCTGGATGTTCCTGGAAAGTCTCCCTCTCTCAATCTCTTTTGTATTATTTTTTAACAGAAGCATAACCACAAGGAGATAGGGAATATCTGTCAAAATTCTTGGATCTGGTTATCATCTGGGAAAACATGCTTTAACCAAAGCATGAAGAATGTCTTTTTAGACATGGAAGTTACTGCCCTCAAAGACTGGAGGACCCTTTTTGGCACAGGATATGCAAACGGGCAGATAAGATGACCTGATGCTTCTTTCTGCCTTCACCTTCTACTAATTTGCTTATTATATCTATGGGATTAGAATGCATTTTGAGAGCTGTGATGTCTGGGCCATTTTTTGTCTTAGTTCAGTAATGTTTCTGACTGGGAAACCATAAATGCAGCTCACTTGATGTCCTCCAAACACGGGAACAGCCTGATGTCTCTTGGATTAGTTCAGTCCATGCAGTGATTAAAAGACCTTATGTGAAGCTTAAACAAAGTTGTTTTTCCTTCAGTCTAGCAACCAGCAATCATGCTACTAGGCCTAGTTCTCTACTCTGTTGTGATGAAACCCTGCTGGTTTCAACAGAGTCATGCTGGTGTTGAAATTACTTAAAGGATCAGTGAGAGAAATGTAGAAGCTGAAATGTAGAGACCATTTAAAAATCTTACAAATTTAGAAAATCAAAAGGTGGCTTTTATTCATTTAGTTGTTGCTATTATTTTTTCCCAAGACATGGATATTTCAGGAGACCTTTATCAAATAAGAGGTACAGAAAGTAAAGCCTGGACAATTTTTTCCCAGGTGTCTATTTATCTTTCCCTCAGTTCATCACTGCTCTTTCCTCAGTGTATGCTTCGGAGCATTGTTCAGCACATGGAAGCTCCTGCCATTTCCTCCAGGAGCTTGTCTGAATGCTGCAACTGAGCAAAAAGAGTACTTTTCCTACTTTTGTTCTGCTTTGTATTGATTCCTCTGATTTGAATGTTTTTCCACATATTGTTTTTTATCCCCTCACACCCTAACAAGATATTATCTTATAAGATAGCACAATCTGTTACGAAATACTTCTGGCTTGCCAGAAGTTTTTATTAGACACTTTAATAATGATGCTTAGGAGCGAACTGGGAATTGCAAAGAACAAAGAATCTCCAGATGTCCTAACAATGTACAATGTAGAATTTGAAGAATATTTCTCTACTTGAGATGTTTCTCATTTTCCTTTGGAACAGTACGATCCTGCATTATTCTTGTGTGATTTATGTGAATACAATTTCATTTACAGTTTGTCTCATATTAACCCTGTACCCTGAATTTGTCTGGTTTACTACCAAAAGTGCACATTTTGCTACTCCTATTCTGTGTGTGGTTCTGAAAACTTACATTATTAAAAATGCTGTATCTGAATGTAACTTCTTGCAACACACCTTCCCAGACAAGGAAAAAAAAAAGCAGAGAAATTAACCATGAGATTCTGACATATGTCTTCTGAACAACAAGCTAATTCTCAGCTTCCACATTTTGTGCTATTTGAATTGCGCTGTGCAAAGTCACATGCTTTAAGCTAATTGCTCCCATGCAAAGCTTGTAGGAAGCAGAAAAGCAGAGTTCCTGTGGTAAGTTTTTTGGGGCTGAGCTCTGCCTGAAATAGAAAAATTCTTTCTCTACTCTGGTTTTCATCTTCAGTTTCATGTTTGTCTTTTTTTTCCGTTTCTTCTTTATTTATTTATTTTTTTAATCTGCAAAAAGGTATATTTGAATCTTGAGGATTTGTCATGATTATATCATTTCAGCTGTCATGCAAGCTTAATCAGTAGAAGAATAATACTTGACCAAGTAGCATAGGGAATACAGGAATAAGAATGGACTATTTCAAGGAACAAGTTTTTAATTCCAACATTTTGTTTAAATATGTTAACGTAAACATGTTTTCTTGTATGTTACCAATCCTGTCTTTGCAGGCATAATGACTGTTCTGGAAAATGCTGTCAATGGATTTTCCATTACTGGGCACATATAATGAATGGGAAAAAGTGCAGAGAGGTACCAGTTTAAAGCTTTCTCATTTTCATTAACAGCATTTCAAGGGAAGTTACTCTCGTTATTTTTTTTTTTCTTTCCAAAACTTACCACTACTTTTCCTCACTTTCATTTGGATTTTTAGCAGAACTGTTAGTCACAATCAGTTCACATCTTTAAAAAGAATTATGGTCTTTCATTTATACAGTGGAAAGCTGTCCTGTAACTCATCAAGTTTTGTTCCTTAACAGTACTTCCTTAATTTCTATGCTAGTAGGAAGATTAAGCTACTTTCTAGAGGCTACCTATCCCCAAAGACTTCCTCTAACACTGTGCTCAGTTCTGGTGAGCTGTAAAACCCTTAGCACAGGCAAATTGCTTGGGTATATACTGCCACGAACTCAGTCCTATCAACCTAAGGCCAAACTGATTCTTGCTGGAAATGGAGAAAAAAATTGAAAATTTAGAACAGAGTATTTTACTTAGATTAAATGAATGAGTCAGTTAGGATGACCACTTATTTGGAAAACTGCCATTCTTGTTCTTGATGAAATCAGAAGGTAATCTGCCTTTTACTGAAAAAAAAAAAAAAAAAAAAAAAAAAAAAAGCCAATTTAAACTATGTTTAGAAGAGAAGGCCTGTTTTTTAACTTAAAGGAGCTTATTAAATTTTTTTTGCATCTAAATCTGACTGCACATTGTTGGATATATTCAAGTAGTTTGTCTTGTTAGAAGTGTATGTGTTATATTTATGGAAATGTCTTTCAGCCTAAAGGATCCCAGTGTGCTTATGAATACTTTAATTCATTACTGGAATGAATTCTCTTTCAATAAATTATGAGGTAAGTCTAACAGAAGTCAAAGTGATAACTCTAGAATTGTTACAGGCAAGAAAAGAATGTGTTGGTTTTTCTCTTTTTCTTTCCATTTAGAAATGCAGTTGTGCTATTATATTTGTTAAAAAGTATTTTGGTGTGTTCTCCTTTATGAGAGCAATGTGTCTATGCATACTTGAAATAAACCAATTTTATTCATTCCTCTGTGTTGATTAGAATAAAAGTCTCTGTGGGAGAGAGAAACTGCAGTTATGAAAGGCAGCCCCAAGCCTTCCAGCAGTTGCACTCTTGCTAAACCAGCAATTAGTGGGTAATTTCATGAGTTATTGAGTGAAGCTGGTAAGGTGTGGGTTATGCGGGTGGTATAATGATGTATTTTGGGCTTGTAACCCATAATTCTGTCTGTTCTTTTGCTTTTTTTATGGGGGTTATAACTTCACTGAAGCTAGCGTTCTATGGGTGTTGTAATATCCAGATAGAGCACATGACTGAGAAATGCTGTGTAAGTTTAAAGCAGACACAGCTGTAAAGAAACAATAGAAAAGAGACTACAAGCATGTTGACATATCAGGGCTCCAAAACTGGAAAAGCTGGAAATCTGAAGGTGGAGGTGTTGAAGGGTAGTGCAAGGAGGCTGAAGAAACCCTAGGGAAACTGTGGAAAACTGTGAAACTGTTTAGGCTGTAGCTTATTGAAAAAGTAAGATAAATGTGAGAGAATGTTTAACCATTTAGCTACTTTTAAAAGAGGTCTCATACTGCAAGGGGAAGTCCACCAGTCTAGGGGAAGGGAAGAGAAGGAAGGGGAGAGCAGAGGTGAGGTATGGATATCTTTCCTGCTTCAGGAAGAAAGAAGCTTAGAAATTCCAAAGACTGGAACAGAACATTTTGCTTCAGATATGGAGTCTCATACATTTTGTGTGTCTTATTCAGATTATACCCACATGCCTGTGAACATACTGCCTTATAGCACACTATAATTTCTGTCCCATATACTTCTATTATCCTAAATCTCTGCCTTAGTTTCAGCTGGGACAGAGTTGGTCTTCTTCATAGTGTCTGGTATGATGCTGTGTTTTGGTTTTAGGAGAAAAGCAACATTGATAGCACACTGATGTTTCTAATTGTTGCCCAGTAGAGCTCTACAATGCCAAGGACATTTCAGTTTTCTTGGTGATGGTCTGAGGATAGAATTACAACAGATGACTTAAATTGGCTGAAGAGATATTCCATACCACATAATGTCATGTGGAAGGAAAGTTTTGAAAGGCTTGGACATTCATGAGACTTCCTTCCACTGCTCAGGGGCTAACTGGACATCCACTGGTGGATTACTTGCACATTACTTGCTATATGCAGTCATATGTGTATTTGTCATTTTTACTCTTAATTTTCTCTATCTCAGTAAGTAGTTTTGTCTCAACCCATAAGTTCTACATTTTTTTGATTCTTTCCCCCATCCCACTAGGAATGAGGGGAGTGAGTGAACTACCGCATGGTGTAAGCCACCTGCTGCGTTAAACCACAGCAGTCTGTGCTGAAGAGAACTAAGTCAGTGACACTCTCAGATGTGATGAACTTAATAATTTATCTTGAGTGTTCTGTCCTCTGTCTACTTGCATCACAAATGCTGGGAGTTTTTTTAAAGTTCCAAGAATAAAATGCATGTAATTCCAGGAAATTAAGACTGAATTTCAGAATGAATGGAAAATGCTGAAAAACATAGGTTTGGGAAACATGGTTCTACTTCAAAAGTACTTAGAAACAATTTCAATGATTAATAGGTTAAAAAAATATTTCCTATGGCTTTCAGTTATTCCATCCCCCTTAGCCCTAATTATAAATTACTGTTTTCATATGAACACAATCTTTACTCATTTGAATAAACATACAGAATTTTATACTACTCACAGCCTTCAGGATTTTACAGATATTTTTATGGAAATGTTTTATCATTTTTCAAAAACAGTTCTACCTCTGGGATGTTTAGTATAACCTTATTAATCATTACGCAGATAGGTTCTCTTGAAATATTGGTGCTGCTGTCTATCTGGCTTGAGGCAAGCAAGCCAGAAGTATCATCTGTGATTCTCAGTTAGTAGCTGCCAACCTCCTCACCCTTACCCCACGCTATTCTGGGAAAATCATAGAATCAGAGAATCATAGAATTGCTCAGGTTGGAAAAGACCTTAAAGATCATCAAATCCAAGCACAACCTAACTGTACTTCCCTAACTCTAACAACCTAAATCATGTAACAAAGCTAAATCATGTCCCTGAGCACTACATCCCAATGGTTTATAAACACATTCAGGGATTACCTCTTGTAATGAAAAGGGGAGCCTTCTCAGAGTTGTATAGATATGGCACCAGCAGATCTGCTCCTGTTAAGCCTATTCCTGACAGATTCTGATGCTCAGCACCTTTTTACTAGCAGAGATAGACCTGAAACAAAATTCTCAGCATAAGGCTTCTCAGTGTCAAGGATGTTCTATGTTACCAGTCTTTTGAAGTTTAGGCCTTTGTAGACTGTAAAGTTTCCTTATTGGTGTTATGCAATACTTTAAGTAGGAGTAATGGAATTAATTAGGAGTAACTTAGCAATTAATTAGGAGTAATTTAGCAATTAACTGAAATGCAAGTTAATGATTGCCTGTCTTCGCCGTTCATAAGTCACTGATATGATTTTTCCTGAGGTAATGAATTCTTTAGTGATAGAAATTGCAAGAGGGTGCCCTTTTTGATTATCAAAATTCACTTCCAAATGGAAGAGAAGGAAATTGTGCATAGGTATGACTGGCTCAATCAAAGCATTTTTTGAGATCTTAGGAAATTCCCCAAAATGCTATCTGTAGTAGAACTTCCCAGACATGACACCAAAGCTTTTCATGAACGTTCAGAGTTTAGAAACAGGTCATTTATCACAGAAGAAGAAATAATATTTTTTGAATGAAACATTGCATCTGGCTTAAAATAATAATGAATGGTGGAATCAATCACTTGGTTCATTATGTACTTAATAATCAAAAATATTGTCTTGTCCCTTTGATGCTGACATCAGGGAAAACACTATCTTTCATGTCAGCAGGCTGGGACTGTAAACTGTAACTGTAAAAGATAAATAATTTATTTAGTTTATTTATGGTTTGTAAGCCTCTTCTGACTTCTAGCCTACAGCTTGTCTGCTCATCTTCCGCACATTTATTCATAATCCATCACGGTCGTTCAGTTGAATGGCTAAGTACTGTTGTTTCCTTTATGTCTGTCCTCAATTTATATTTCAGGCAGCACACATTCTCCTTCAGTTTTTATTCTGCTTACCTAAACAAGTTAAATTGTTTACTTTTTCCTTGTACACAGAGCGGTACTAAGTACTGTAGATAAAACCTCAGTGCTGCTATGTACAATGGCATTAATACTTCCATATCTTATCTGAAAGTATCTGTTTAGAATGATTTTAAGGATCATGTTAGCATTTTTATTACCACATTACTTTAGCGATGTTGTTCTCCCTAAAACGGAACCACTGGCTTCATATGTGATGATATAATTTTAACAGAATCAAGATTTCACCCACTGCCTTTGCTTTATTTTTATGATTCTGTCATTTAGCAACTTGTCTACTACATATTTTGACATTACCTATCCCTTGTCATACTTCTGACACTATGAGTCATACGCTCTTTAATTCAGGGACAGTCATTTTTTTGGAGGTTTTTAATGCTACTGTAGCATTACACACACACGCACACCAAAACAACCAAAAACAAGAGCAATGAAAAACCAACCACCATAAATAAGTCACAAAATAAACATGGAACAGAACAACCAAGTTCTTTGCTGCTGTTATTTCTTCAGCAGTCAGAAGCAGAGGACTGGTCTTTGCTAAAATTTAGAAAGCAGAAACAGAAGAGTAGTTGTTGCTAGAGTCAGAAAGAACTTAACAATTCATAAATCTAGAGACCTAAACATCAACTGTACTTGCTTTAAAATACGTAAGTACAGCTTAGAGGGGATGAGAAGTCAATTTTCAGAATAAGGAGACACCACAGCTAAGTAAATACATGGAAAGACCAGACACTGAGGAAGGATATAAAAATGTGGAGGTATCTCAAAAGAAACCACAATCAACAAATACAGAAACAGACATTATTGGAAAAAAGTTGCAGTTCCATGAAATCTTAACAAGCCAAGCCACAAGTCTGTGTTTACAGCAGCTGTTCATTTCACAGCCATGGAAGACATGATGCTTGAAGATAAGCCAATAAGCCAACAAAGTACAGAAGTCAAGTGTGAATCCACTTTAATTTTTTTTTATTTTTAAAACAATACTTTGCTCATTGTAAAACAATACCTTAGAAAGAAATTACTTGCCTGTTTAGACTCTGGGCCTAGCGAGCATACTGACAGTAAACTGTGCTTTGTTACTCCTACTGCATAGTTATATTTCATTTATGAGGAGAACCATGATGATGCTTTAGATCTTACTACTTCACCTAATTAAGCATGCACGACTCAAAAGCTTTAAGTTCAAACAGGCTACGGAGAAGCAAAGACCATTCCTACCTGCTCTGTGCTTGTTCTGTATGTTTTTTCAGTAGGCCCTACCATGACACAGGAAAGGAGAATACTTGCTAGAGTTTTTTCACCAGTTAGAAAGACAGAGGCTTTTAATTAGTTTTTCATTTATTTTGATTATGGAAATATTTTTTTCTTCTTCTGGCTTCCAGTGGGCAGAAGGCAAATAGCTTCCAGAATATTGATGCTAAGATACATACAAAGAAGGTGGTTCTGACTAGTTGATAGTGACTGGTCAGTTTCAAATCTAAATGTCTCTGAAACTTACTTTGAATTAACTTAGATCAGAGTTTGTACTTTTCAGTAGGCTTTGCAGCAATTGCAGATTTTTTTAATTAAACCCACTATGCATGGTAATGCTAAAGAAAATATAGACAGTCTATAGTCTCTGATTACCAAGCTAAGATGAATGGAAATAATTGGTTTTAAG